GAATAGACTAGTGACTAGTATAATGTTATTTGTTTAATTATTGTACGATATAACGAATAAAATATCTAATTATTCTTAATATAATGTTTTACTATATAGTCCAGAAAATTGTTTTTCACCCCCAAAATATAAATTGTTACTAATCGTCCCCCTCAACATGGAAAAACGCCCACATGGGGGCGATATCGCCCCCGTTGAGAAACACTGATATAAATTCTATTTGAATTTGCAAAACAATGGCAGGGCCTATCAGAGGTAAAGAGAGGCCTGGGTCAATTATTATTTTTAAATGCAAACATCTTTTATATCTTTTAAATAATAAAATTTATCATGAAATAAAGTATTTTTTTCCTTTAATAAGTAAGAAATTTAATAAAATGAAAAATTGTAACAAATGTTTTTGAAGCCCGAACCAAAAGGGCCTCGGCTTCTAGGGCCTTGCGTACTTGATTAACTAGTTTATAAAATCACACCAAATTTTTTAGTACACACTGAAAATATTGTAAAAATGTACTTACATTGCAAACGCCTTTCATTCTCGATCCAGAGCATATTTGCTTATCAGAAATCTCAAGTCTTCCCTGAGATAAAAGATAATAAACAAAAGAACAATAACGCTTACTACACACATCCACTTCCACCTTTTTTAAAACTTCGGGAATGTTCCCTAAAGGGCATTAAAATTAATTATTATAACAAATAAAATGCATTTTCTAACATAAATAATAGAAATTTTGCTTACCGTTTTCATCTCTACCCCAACCGACAGCCATAGCTTCTTGCCCTTCAAACTTTCTATTTTTCGAAGGTATACAGAGGGGTTTTATATAATCACTACTGAAATCTACAGGCTTAGAAAATTTCATTAGAGCAATGTCATTTGCTATTGTTCCATCATTATACTCTTCATGAGAAATTACTTTAGAAAATGTATAGACATGAGCATTAGAAGAGCGGCTCACGTTACCTAAAACGACTTTAAAGTTGGAAGCGGGAGCTGGAACACCTCCTGAACTAAAATATAATTGTTAAAAATGCATTATTTGTTTATTAAATTAAAATATAATAATATAACTTTTAATTTGTTAAAAAGTATTTACCCAACGACACAATGTGAAGCTGTAAGGAAGAAACGCTCATCTATGACAGATCCAGTGCATATGAATTGATTCCCATAGTGAAGAGCACCCTTAAAAAATAAAAATAAATATATAAATTTATTTTTATTAATATAACGTTGTAAATAAATCTAAAATCATAAGAATATTTTAAAAGAAAATTAAAATATAATTGTTTTTTTATCATAAGATGGCAGCACTTACAATAGCTGGATACTCTTTGTCCTTGCAATCCGTACCTCTTACAATGAACGATTCCTTATCTAAAAACCGTAAAAATTACAAATTTAGAAAGTAAAACAATAAAACCTAATAAAAAAAACAAGTAAAATAAGGTAACTTACTATTAATTCCACTAGCAAGATGCTGAAAAAAATCCATAAATATGTTTAATTAAGCCTCACAAAAACATAATATTTAACATTACAAAAGCATATTAAAGGTTAACTTAAACACGCTGAGAAGGTATTTTTTTGTTTACTTTATATTTTGTATCCCGCATACCGAATAAAGATTTAGTAAATGGCAAATTCGAGTTCACTATAGCGAGTGACATGTCCGAAGTTGTTTTCAATAAAACAGCAGGTATCAACCTATCAGTCTTTACTGGTAAAGATGTGGCATCCTACCTCGTAAATGGCAAGTAGGAGTTACCAACCAGGAACAAAACATTGTGAAGAATTACTTCGAGGACCTTCGATAAGTTTTACTAAAGAAAATAAAAGTAATATAAATTTACCTGAGAAATAAGCACTATGAGATATATTCCTAAAGCCTTCATGTTTTTGTATAATTATATATTAATACCCTATCATCTATCTTATATATATATATATATTGTATGCATTTTAAATTTATATAATAATTAATTTCCGGGTTCATATACAAATGATTTGTTTAGTTTTGAATTATCATCCTTAACATCTGTGATATATTATGAGATCCTCTTTATATATTTTTATTATTTATTTATTAATAGTTACATGAACACCTGTAGAAATTATGGAAATTTCCGGGTGTTCCAATTTAATTAATTTTTTTTTTTAAATTCATAAATTTTTAATAAATATTTTAATATTTTTAACTTTTTATATAATTTTATAGCATTTAATGCTCGAGCATTGTGAAGATAAGCTTACATATTTACGTTATTAAATCTCTATATCATTAATAATAATAATAAACCTTTTAAATACAGGGTTTATTATTATTATTAAGGATATTGAGCCTATTAAAGGGTCAATACCCCAAGTCAGGAATCCCAAAACCTTTTTGATTATCGACCCCATTCCTTTTTTCTTTCTTTTTTTTTGTACAAATGGTCAACTTATGAATTAAGTACTTAAAAATATTTAAAAGCATTATTTATTCATTTTTGAATAATAAAAATAATCACACATTTATAAGAGATATTATTAAAAAATAACAAATATTTATATCATGCTGAAAATTAAAATGTCCAGGTACTCTTAAGGAACACAGAACAAAACTAGTGAAATAAGTGTTTTCATATTTTCCTGTATATAGTGAATATAAAAAATAATATTTATTCACTCATTTATTAAAATGTTTTTTAAAATAGGGATGTGATTTGGCTAGAGCTGTAGTAATTCCTTCATTTTCTATCCTGCGCAAAATTTCCTTTTCACAGTTTATTATCATGAATGCATCCAGTTGAAATTCAGTCAGGGTTGACCTTAATCTATTCTTTATATACTTTCATTTTGTAAAGGTTTGTTTGCAGGCTACTTGAGAAATTGGTAAAGTTAAAAAATATTGATATGCAAGAGTGAGAGGGATAAGCTTCCTGGTATATTTTATTTGTACATTTTTATAACATGCATATGGTAATATGTATGNAAATCCATTGCTATAAGAAAAAATAAAACTTTATTTACGTATATTTCCTTATTTTTTTCTAAAATCCTATGACTTGTTTACGAGTTACGAGTTAATTGAATTACGTGAAGTGAACGATGTTATCAGATTAGATTTTTTTTTCTTTATATTTTTGTTATGTTGAATTGAAAAGCAATTATTTAACCAAACCCTTTTCTGGAATTTTAACTATTTTACAGATTTAAAATTTAAAATATACATTATTAAAATTATATAATTTTTAATGTAGATTTAAACGCATTTAGAATCAGGATTTATGATGCACGTTTCGAGTTTCTCCTCTTTGTTTACTTCTAAAAATCTTTTATAAATAGAAGCGATTTATATAAGAGTTCATATATATTTTCTATAAAATTCAATTTTTAAATATATATATTTTTTTATCTTAAAAGTATGTAATATTGCAATTTTCGTCCCATTTTCTTAAGTACATTTCCTTACCTCCTTCTATTTTCTTTGTTTACAATATTACTATCTTTCTACTATAAGGATAAAGTTTTAGTATATAAAATGCCTTCTTTTTTATTGTTTTTGTTTGCCTAAATTCAACTTCAACAAAAATATAAACATCTTTCAGCAAGAAACTAATGTTTCATATCTTGATAAGAAGGTATACATGGATCATA